TTAGTTGGGCTAAAAATCAGCAGAAGACTTTTTGATCGACAGAAAAGAAAGTATACCTTCACTATTTCTTCTTTTTTTTTAAATGAAAATGCAATATGATCTTTTTAACTTGTGGGTAGGCAAAGCGTAGACACGGTCCATTTTTAAAATTTGGAATTTTTTGAAGCATGATTAGAAAAACTCCAAGAAACTGAGATGCATGAGTYCACATCGCCACAAGCTCTTCAATAAAAACTTCCTTGTAGTACAAGTAATACTACTAGTATGGCAGTTTTATGCACTTCCGCTATATAAGATTCGCGGCGGTGTATGATCATGATCCATGGATCTTGAATCAGCGTTTCCCCTCCCGATAAAATATACAGTAATATTATGGGTTCAGTTCAGTTTGTATCACTCGTGTCCTATGGGATCTGGAAAGGGTTACCACGAGGAATATAAGCGTTCAGCCCGCCCTTTATGTGGACAAATTTCTTGTAATAATTAAGATCATGAACCGTAGAGAGCGAGAAGGTGAAAATAAGTGAATTATATGTGGACGTAGAAAACCCAAAGAAGAAGTGGTTGAAGTATTATATACGTGATAGCAACAATTTTCGTAAATAATTAGTAGGGCGGGGCCAATCAAAGAAAATTCAGTTTTTTCTCTCTTCTTCCCCTGTTTTTGTTGTTTGTTTTGTCGTTTCTTTGTTTCTTTGTTGTTTGCATAATTCTGGCCGATAAAGTATAGATTAGGAAAAAAAGCTGCCGCTAATTAGCATATTAACTCTAAATCTTACCCTAACCACGCCCGTCCCCTGATTAATTTTCAAGGAAATTGATAATCTATTATGAATATTCCCCAAATAATAATATCGATAACTGAATGTGAAGGACGCGGTTAGGGTTAAGGTTATTAGGGCTATTCATTGCAGTAGAAAGCCGGAAAGACAACGGTGAAGAATATAAACAAAATCCCTTCATTCTGTGTTTATTAATTAATTTATTAACTTCGCCATACTAAAAAGCATAATGAGTTAATAAGTATAAGCATATAAGCATAGCAGGGATACTGCAACAGCGTTAGCCAATTACTGCCTGTCCTTTGAAGAGAAAAGTACTTTAATTGAAGGAAAAATAATTATGAGAGAAAGTAAAAATACATATACAATAAATAATTATTATTGTGAAAAGTATAAACTAATTGCAACAAGATGCACGATACAATATACGCCTCACCGCGGTTCTTTGAATGCACCAAGTGTTCCTTCTAAGTAGTATAGGGAATGGGGGTTTCAGCGCAATCTCAACACGGGCAAGACCCGTGTCAAAAATCCACCTACGGA